CAAAATTTTGAATCCCGCGAGATCCGGAAACCGCAGGGCATTCAATCACGTCAAGGATTTCACACTCTGATTCACTCGAAGATTTACTACATAATTCACTCGGTGATCTCAACGACCAGAATCGATCAAGGCGACTAAGGCAGAGTTAAAATACCACTGTGCTTTCCAGATTCCTATAAAATGCTTCTGAAGCATGGAATCGAATCGGAACCAACTTCAACCCTTCTTCACTTGGACCTTAATCCATTCGGGATCTAATGATGATGACATGTACTAGGGTAGGGTCTTAGGCCTGACCTAGACACCCTACCCAAGGACACTGTCCTAGAGAAAAAGACATTCAAAGTCCAACAGAGGGTACCGACTGAACTCACCTTGAAGTGCAATCCACTCCACAGAAGATTCCACTCGGATACCCCAATTCCACTCGACCACAATAGAGTCACTCAACCATACGAAGAATCACTCAGAATACAGAAGATCTAAAGCCACCCCAGGATGGCAATGGTCAGGCATTCACTCTATAGTCATAAAGATCATTAATAACTGGCGTTACCAGTAACGTCTTTGTCTTAACTCACATTGAACCCTGTGTAACTGAGGGCTGTGAGAGTCCTGGCGCACTCTATATAAGCCACCCCCCTCCTCAGACACAAGGGTTTGCACCCCCTATAACTTCCACGCATAATCCAGTCGACAAGCCTCCGAGCACCAAGACGTAGGGATGTTACCTCCTCCGAAAGGGGCCTGAACTCGTAAACTTGCGTGTACAACCTCACCGACCTTGCCTCCTCTTATGTACCCCCTATTCTTATTGTCAGACTTACTCCCACGACAGGGGCTACTGGGATTCATGCTTAAATAAAATCACTTCCATTATGGATCCACTTGTTGGATGTCTCACCCGACAAGTGTCTTGAGGGCTATTGCCATACATAGTAGACCTTCATGCGCATGAAGTCCTCGAAAATACTAAAAAGATGTCTTTGAGATTAGATGACATGACATGCTTCCATTTAGAGGAACACACATTGATCCGTCCTGAGGGCTACTGGGACTATGTGTAACTTATTGTGAAAGTAATTAGGAACAAGGATTTCACCTGAGACCCTTGGACAAAACATCTACCGCATTCTGAAAGCCAGATCGGATAGCGCCAAGGTAGGCGCCCACTAAGGTGAAGGTGTTAAACTCTTGGCTGGAGAATATTAGATTCCTTAGAGAAGTTTTTCTCTGCCGATGATTTATAGCGCTATCGATCTCAGAGTTGGTTGCAGAAAAAGCCTCCGAAGTCTCCCGTTGAGGTACTTCAGGGATATCCCTGGAGTGGAGTCTGGCATGGCTTCCGTCCTTAGCGCAAAAGCACCCATAGCACCGGCTTCCTCGGATGGCAAGGTGTGGGCGGGTCGCATGTATTAAAACTTGGATGATTACACACAAAACCACAACTATTTTTAAATTTCTATTAAGAAGGCTTACCTGTATGAGGCAGGGGAAACATGTGTTGTCTCCATGGCGGCCGGTTGCGGAGCAACACTCTAGGGGGCGCATTTGGCTCCTTGAAGTGGTCGGATTGGTCCTTTGAGACTTTGAGAGATAGCCTTGGGAGAAGAAGTCAGAGTGCTTGGGGCAGTATGGGTAGAGAGTCTCTTTCGAAGAGAAGCTGAAGGAGCGCTTACCGTAGAAGACAACAGTGCCCCCGACAGGTCAAGAAGGATAGCCATTTTTGAGCCATCAAGGCTCTCTTGGTAATAGAACTCGTCCTCAAAAATAATGGACAACTCGACATCCTCGTGGAAGCAGGGGTCGTCATTGCAAGAGTACGTCTCTGGCTCTAGAGCAGGGCAACTCATTGTTTCAACTCAACACTTCCACCTCTATTCTGATATGTTGAACATCTATTCAGAAATATAAATGCACTGCCCAGATAGACGAGATAGTTTAAAGAAGACTCACCGCTTCGACGGGGTGGTAGTATGAGAAGTCGTCCATGAACTTCTGTTTGGCGAAATCCTCCTTCTCCCCCTTGTTCATACCGGCCAGAGTAGTAGCCATGACTACCTGATCCTCGGAGCCTTTCCGGATAGATCGGGTGGCGTCGTCCGTCCTGTTGTACCTCCACAGGGGATGTATGTGTTGTTGAAGAGGTTGGACTCATCGGGCAATGGTCGTTGCCATCACGTCGATGATGGTCAGCCCACTATGTGTCAAGCACCTCACTTGAGCAGCAAGACGAGCCACCTCAAGGTCATCCTTTTGCAAGGAACTCTTCGGACACCAGTTGAAGCGCTTTTTTGGGGGCGCAGGGGAGAGGATGGGAAGTCTAGAACGGACTGGATCGAAAAGTGGGACATCGGCCATATAAAACAGTTAGGCAGCCCACGTCTCGGTATCCTTTCTAGGGCTACCTGGTGGATAGCCGGTAGCCGCAATGCGGCATACCTCCGCTCCGGCCACCTCATGAAGTTTCCCATTTCAGGAGGAGGGCATCGAGCAGAAGTATTCCCTCCACAGCCCGAGTGTGCCTCGCATCCGAGGTACATCTCATAGAGGGCAACGAATCCCGCGATATGCAGGATGGAGTTGGGTATTAGATTGTGGACTTGGATCCCGTAGAACCCAAGCAAACCCCGGAGGTACGAATGGATGTGGAACCCAAGACCTCGCAACAAAAAGGGACAAAGAAGACTCACTCCTTCCCATGTGGAATGGGATGGTTGTCCGCGTGCACTCGCCCGTCCATGGATATTGAGCCAGGGCGAGTGGAAGCAAGATCTAGAGATGGCAGATAACCTAGGGTGGAAAGCCGGTCCAGCTATCGATGGGTGACGGAGCAACTTCCTCAGTTGGCCTTGAGAGGCCCATGGGGGCATGTTGATGAGCCCGCGCTGCTCACCATGGCCGGAGCTCTCGAGCTAAGCTCTAAAGAGAAAAATTGAGATGAGATGCGAGAAAGCAAGTGTATGGTCTTGGTTGAAGCCGTGGACTAAACACCAGTTAAATCAAGAAAGGTGGGACGCTTCGACGTCTAGCCATGAATGGACCTATTCCCGAGGTGACACAAAGATAAAAAAGAATTGTTTTAATAACATAAGGGCCACATATGGTGGGACCCAAGGCTAAATCCTTGGTGAAAGTTCTCGGTTTACGTAAAATAAAGGCCACCTGATCCGATGTATGGAGGCCGAAGATATGTTGCGGGTCCTAGAGCTGAACTCGAACTGATAGAGAAGGAACTCGCCTGCCAAGCCGAAGACATTGGTCCGAGGATGGAACTTCTGTCCTCGGCTTCAAAGACAAGTTCAGGGGCTACTGACGGTGTCTTGGACTAAGGGTGCCAACCTATGTGGCCCATAGTCCATGGGTCGAGCTTACGGCCCAATGATCTCCACAAGGAAGGATTCTAGAAGCTACGAATCCTGGCATGATCAAGACGGACACCGCCGAAGACTTGGCGTATACTTCAAGGACTGCTCTAATTGTCGGCATGATTATTCCTAGTTGGCAACCAACCATATGTAACCCTAGATACCCCCGTTGCCTATATAAGCCAAGTGGTTTAGTTCGTAGAGGCACAATCACAATTACCAGCCTTAGGGTTTAGAACACAACATACGATCTTGAGGTAGATCATCTTGTACTTGATACTCCATCACATCAATATAAATGAAGCACGACGTAGGGTTTTACCTCTTCGAGAGGGCTCAAACCTGGTTAAACATCGTCTCCCTTGTCTCCTGTTACCCATCGATCCTAGATCCACAACTCGGGACCTCCTACCTGAGATCAGCCGGTTTTAGTACCGGTACTGAGCTCAAAGTTTTGGTTTAACATTGGGACACAAAGCAAATGTTAATTTTTAATTTCGGATCCTGGATTAGAAGGAGTGATCAATTCAAATGACAATTTAAAATATAGATTTCAAAACCTGTGTCATGTCAATGCAAAAGTGGATGCCATGACAACATTTTCTGAAACTTGTTCCATCGCAGCAAAATAGTTGTCGTGGCAGTACCTTCTGCTGGCTGGGCATGCAACGCTCAAATCCCAAGCCGGGTGCATGTGCGGGTACGACTGGACTGCGCCTGGAAAGACGGACAAGCAAGGCTCATGAGGTCGGGCATGCAACACCCAGGCCCAAAGTTGGACGCATGCACGAGCTTGGCTGGCGCAACCGAACCAGGCCGACGCAAGGAAATGGCATCGCCAGGTGGGTCCGCCTGGCCCATCGCGCACGAGACCCCGCATGTGGGCGCGACCGAAAGAGCCCATGACGGTAGCCCCGCGTGCGCCCACGGTCCATCCGTCATGGACCCATGAGGTCGGTTGCCCGGGTACACGTCGTCTAGGCAGATCGAACGGCACGGAGAGCCCTCGGTGATGCCCGCGGCACGCCACCGCGAAACGGACAGTGCAGAGGGCACTCTCGCCCGCGAAGCCCCCCAGAAGGCGGGTACTCTAGCATTCTTTGTAAAAGTAATGTCAGGCTCCACTGAAGTATAAAACATACGGCTAAATATTGAGGATCGGGGCTGGGCAGTGGGGTTGATCGACGGAGAATCTGGACACAGGGCAGAGCAAGTTACACGAGCGCATCGATGTAGGGTTCCGGCGCTCGCGACGCGTACGGCGAACTGTCGAATGGCAGCGCTCGCTCGGTGTGCATCAGGACTCGGCAGCGCTGGACCAAGTGAACGTGGTGCTTTCCCTCAAAAAGGAAAAAGAAAAAGTGGTGCTGTGGTGTGCTCTCGTGGGCTAAAGTTCTAACCTTCCGGTGCTACAGCCCGGTAGCTTCGCCTCGCCCCTCAAGTTGGAAAAGGTCGTGGAATGGATCAGCTGCTCCCTTGACTCGTGGTCGTTGTCTCCTCTTGACACCAAAAAATTTCCACGCACAGTAGAACAACCGATCGATTCCACCCAGCCCGACCGCCTTATTACTCCCTCGATCGATCGCCGTGGCACAGGCACCGTCCCGGTCTTCTTCCTCAGCGATCCACGCCATGTACCATCTGCTCCTCCTCCTCCTCGTCTTGCTCCCCTTCGCCACGGCCGACGCCCACCCCGCCGCTTCCTGCAGCAACGCCACCTGCGGCGGCCAGAGCATCGCCTACCCGTTCTGGCTCGCTAGCTCCGGCCCCAACTGCGGCTACCCGGGCCTCGGCGTCTCCTGCAACGACAACGCCCCGATCCTCGACGTCCAGTTCCACCAGTACAGGGTCCTGCGCATCGACTACGCCAACCGGACCGTCTCCCTCGCCGACGTGGACGCCTGGAACACGACCTGCCCGCGGCTCAGCTTCACCCTCTCCGTCGACCCCCGCTCATCGCTGCAGCTCACGCCCTCCAACTCCAGGCTCACCCTCCTCTACAGCTGCAAGGCCGGCGTCTCCCGGCCCTCCGCCGTGAAACTCGACGGCTGCCCGGAACAGAGCATGGCCTGGTACGTGCTCCCTGATGACGACCGGGTCATGGGCAAAGCGCACGCGTACGGGTGCGAGGAGGCGGTGACGACGCCGGTGCTGATGAGCCCGCATCGTCCGGCAAACCCGTCGCTCCGTGCGGTGCTCAGCGGTGGGTTCGAGGTGCGTTACGATGATCGGTCCGAGCGGTGCGGCGCATGCGAGCAATCCGGCGGACGGTGCCGATACGGGCGCATCGAGGAGCACGGCGGGACGGGCTTCTCATGTGTCTGCGACGATGGCGCTAACAAGCTCCGGTGCGGTACGTACTACGCACTCCTACTGATTTGCTCATTCAGTACTGCCTAATGCGTAGATTCTGCGCTCGATCTCGAAATTTTCTTGACGAACCGCTCGCGCGACTTCGCCTTGGTCGCTGCTGCGCTGATAGAATGTCTTTCCGCGAGTCGCAAAGTCTAGTCCAAGTCTTGCGTGCTGGTAGTATGCGTTGACCTGTAGTGAGCTTGCTATTGGCCGACTGGCACGTCTCAGTCACGACTGACATTTGTGTAGAAATCGTGCAGCAAGACTGACCATTCCAAATACATTAAAACAAGAGAAAATAGGAGCTGAATATGCAATGTATGAGTAGAACATTTTCATTTTCTATGGTCTCCGAAGCTTCGCATTCATACAAGCTTACAAGTCAGACGTCGAGCTATGGCCTATGGGGTTGGCAACCATAGTGGACGACGGCATACGATGATAGCAACCCTCCATCAGCTGTAGGGCTTCCCGCGTCAGTGCCGCGCTAGTCGTACGCAGTTTCATGTTCAAAGTTGATACCGACATTTTTTTTGTTTTTTTTCAAGTGGCATGCTTGCACAAACTTGCAATTGGGAGCTAGCCCTAGCCAGTAAAAACATCAGTTGGTACATAAGTTAGGCCGCTACGGGCCTCTTTCTACTAAAGGGATTTCATACCAATTTCGGAGGATTTCAATTCATAAGAATTGTTACTATAGTAGCTCTTCTGATCGATAGGATAGAGCATCTCGAAATCTCCAAGGCGCGCGTACACACATATTACACAGGCGAGAGAGGAATTTTCCCTAGTGTGTTCTGCTCTCCCGCGCCACCGCGGCCCAGCCGTCATCGTCCTGCAACTCCGAATGACGTGAGCTCGCTTGGGGTGTGGCGGTCCTTCAGTCACTTGTGCCCATCGGGTATGTAGTGTTTGTGGCTGACGATGCTGTTGCGCCAAGTGCATTGGCATCTAATTCCGATTCTCTCTTAACTAAAGAGAATTGCGGCTTGCTCGTCAGCTCGGAGCCGACTACTCCTAGATCTGGCAAGGCAATTTCTTGCCTCGTGATGGGGAGGCCCCAACCAGGGACAAAATCAAGAACGTTGGTGTTTGCCCATGTGTCGACATCCTAAAGGAGAAGTCTCTCAAGAGCAAAGGCAGAAAGAGTGGCGCACTAGGAAAAGTGTCAGCGGCTGCTTGATGGATGGTCTTTAGTCTCTTGCCCCGTCGTCATGGCTTTGACGTGTCGCTGTGGTTTTGGTGGCTTTGTTGTCTTTGGTCGAGATGTTCTTTTGGGATGTAGAGGTGTCAAGGTTCATTTGTGTCGTGGGGGTTCATCCTTTGTGAACATTATGTATATGGCTTATTCGTATCATTTTTTTTTATTTTTAATTAACTAATTAAGCAATTCTCTTCTACTTAATTAATTGATGAGTCAAATATTTTGCCTCCATTTCTAAAAAAAAATTCCTTTTATCAAAGGGGTCGCGCTTGGCTTCATTTTTGTTAAAATGAGCACAAGAAACCTCTTCTCCAATCTGATCGACATTCTTTCGTATTTTTTTCTACAATGGATGGATTTTATCGGCTCAAAATAGAGCATCAAGAGGATACAAACACGATAAGAATACACATGGCATATGCATAGTTAGGATGCACACAACTAACACCAACACACGCATACAAAAACAAGACGGCAAATAGCAAAGTCATATAAGACCAAATCTATGCGTAGGCGAGGAAAAAATCAAAATGATCAGAACCCTGTTCGGCAACCTACATCAATGATCATATCCGCACCAACCATCTCATGACATCCCACGGACAACGAGGTCAACAGCAGTGCCTTCACGAAGGGCGCGATGTTCAAGCGCCGCCGGTCACCGTATCCACCACCCAAGGCCAGATCCAAGCTTTACCGAAAAAGGGTTTCGGCTCGCTTTATAAATAAAGCAAACCGCCAGAGAGCACACATATAAGGACTAGTCCACACACACACACCCCCAAGTCTCACAACAAAGTATAAAGGTTCTGCTGAGGGCACGGCTCAACAAGCCCAGGAAAATAACAAGAAAACAGCCGGAGGAGAGAACGCCTAGTCTGGTTCCAGGGGAGGTGGCGGGGGCGGCGGCGACAGACGGACGGCCATCGAGCGGAGGTCGACGATGAAGGCGGAGATGGCGTCGCGGTCCTGAGGGCGGCTAAGCGGCCGCCAAAGCTGCAAGAAACCCGAAAGTTTGAAGAGAACGTCAGAAGCCCGTCGAAGAGGAGTGCGCTAGATCACAAGCTTATTGCGGATCATCCAGAGGGTCCAAGCGACGACCCCAATCTCAAGCCACCTAATGTGGCAAGGCGTCAAGGGGGAGATCTGGAGTTCGGCAAATAAGTCGGGAAAGTTGGTGTGGCACCAATTTCCACCGACCGCTTCGCGAAAGCAGCTCCAAACGAACGGAGCGGACACGCAGGAGAAGAATATGTGATTCGAGTCTTCGAGGACATCGCAAAGCGGGCAGAGGCCGGTGCCCGGGCCTTTTCGCTTGTGAACCTCGACCCCGGACGAGACCCGACCGCGAATCCATTGCCACATGAAGATACGGATCTTCAGAGGCAGGCGGATGGACCACACCGTCTAGAGGGGGAGGGGGTGGAAGAGGGGGCGATGGCCAGGTAAAGAGACTTAGTGGAGAACTGGCCTGATGGCTCCAGGCGCCAACACACCTGGTCAGGGCCACCGTCCACCATAGGTTCATGGAGGGCAACATAATCTAGTAACTCACGCCAAGCGGCAGATTCCGGGGGCCCAAATGGCCTCCAGAAAGCGAGGCGCCCTAAGTCAATAAGGGCCCTCTCGACAGAGATCACATGGTCGACAGAGATGGAGAAGAGGCCGGGAAAGCGCGCCGCGAAGGGGGCGTCTCTGACCCAGCGATCAAACTAGAACAAAGTCGAAGCTCCGGAGCCGACCGAGATGGAGGTCCTGATGCGGAGAACCGGAAGAAGCTGGACAGCCGATTGCCAGAACTGGGATCCACCAGATCTCTGGCAGAAGGCGAGGGGCTGTCCGTGCAGGTATTTGTTCCGGATGATGTCGAGGGCAGAGGCCACCGTGACCTTGCGAGATGCGCCAAAGCCAACGGGAGAGGAGAGCGATATTCATCCGCTTAGAGCACATAATGCCAAGGCTGCCTTGCTCCCTGGGCTTGCAGATGTCCGGCCAACTGACCATATGATACTTCTGCTTATTGTTGTCGCCCGCCCAGTAGAAACGAGATTGGACCTTGGCGATCTCATGGTGCAGAGTCTCGTGGAGACTATAGAAGCTCATGAGGAACAAGAGGAGACTAGAGAGGGAAGAGTTGATGAGAATCGTCCGGGCCGCCTTAGATAACCACCTCCCCTGCCATGGCTCGATGCGCATTTGGAGCTTGGCCAAGGAAGGGCGCAAGTCCGCGATGGTAAGCCGGGAGTCACTAATGGGTGTACCCAAGTAGGTCATGGGAAAGGAGCCCAGACGGCAGTTAAGCCGGTTGGCAATGGCCAAACACTCCGCGGGAGAGTAGCCCATCACCATAACATCACTCTTGTCGAAGTTGATCTTGAGGCCAGACATTTGTTGGAAACAAAGGAGAAGGAACTTGAGGTTGGAGATGTCCGTCTTCGAGCCTTCGACCATGATGATGGTGTCATCGGCATATTGGAGGAGGGAGATCCCGGAGCCTCCGGCGAGGTGGGGGGTGATCCCACGGATATGGCCAGTAGCCTTCGCCTTATCCAGGATGGTAGCAAGCGCGTCCATGACCATATTGAACAGGAACGGGGAGAAGTGGTCGCCTTGTCGAACCCCACAAAGGGTGGGGAAGAAAGGGCCGATCTCGCCGTTGATGTTCACGGCCGTGCGACCGCATGAGACCATCTGCATGACTCTAGTGATCCACCGGTCGTCGAAGCCCTTCCGAAGCAGAACTTCCCGAAGGAAGTGCCAGCTAACCGTATCATAGGCCTTATGGAAGTCAATCTTCAGGAACACCGCCTTGAGGTGTTTGGCGCGGACCTCGTGAAGGACCTCATGAAGAACTAGGACCCCATCCAAGATATACCGGCCCTGAATGAAGGCGTACTGGTTGGGTTGGGTCACATGGTTAGCAAGAAGGGTCAACCTATTGGCGTACCCTTTCGCAAGGATCCGAAAAATCACATTAATGACCGTGATCGGGCGAAATTGGCGGATGTTGGAAGCACCAGGAACCTTGGGAATGAGAGAGATGATCCCATAGTTGAGGCGTCTGAGATCGATGGAGCCCACATAGAACTCGTCGAAGATGGCCATGACCTCCGGCTTAATCACGTTCCAGAAGGTCTGGAAAAAATTAACCGGGAGGCCGTCAGGCCCCGGCGCCGAGGATGGGTTCATGCCCTTGATGGCATCCTAGACCTCGCGCTCAGAGAAGGGGGCCGCAAGGGTCGCGTTCTCCGAATCAGAGACCAACTGGGGCCCGGACCAACAATCGGGGGCCAGGGAGAGGCCACACCTAGGAGCGGCAGAGAACAAGTATCTATAGAACCCGTCAACATGGGTCCGAATGTCGCGGGGGTCTTGAAGGAGGGTCTCACCATCCCACAAGAGGGGGATAGTGTTGCGTCTACGGCGGCCGCTAGCGATGGCCTGGAAGTAGGCCGTATTCGCGTCGCCCTTCAAGACCCATTTCTGGGCACCATAGAGGCGCCAATAGGCCTCTTCATCGGTGTAAATGAAGGAGAGCTGATCTTCAAGCTCATAAGGGGAGAGCCACTCATCAGGAGAAAGACCCACCGTGTCCGCACGCAAGTCAAGAGCCTGAATCGCGGTTAACAAAGCCTTCTTGCGCTCGTGGAGGTCGCAACCCAAGTTAGCGCCCCACCCCTTCATGAACTGTCGTCCACGCTTCACACAGAAGTGCCACGAATCAATGGCCGAAGGGGGGCGGGGGTGAGGGTGGGCGTGGGCCTCCACCCAACGAGCGTCAATGGCTTCCACGA